TGACGGCTGTTTCGAGCCAAGGGTATGGGAGTATTTCAAACTTTTATCACTTTTTCACTTATCTTATTTGCAATGGGGTACATATGATGTAATTGCAGATGGACGATTGTTTAGTAAACTTTTTAACTTTCGTCATTAGCTCCTATAAAATTTTTATAATGCTTAAAAGGCCACAAGTTTATGAACCTTCAAATTTTTTTTATAGTATGGGGGTATGAGGACATTTTTCCGAGCTCAGTTTATTTCTAACCTTTTCATCCAGTTAACGGTTTGGTTCGCGTCCGGCAAAAAGATAATAGCCAATTCTAACCTCTTTTCTCCATTGTTAAGTGCAGAAGGCGCATGATTTCCTAAGAACTCATGATTCCATTGTGCATACAATAATTGAATTAGAGAAAACAACGGCGAAAACGATAAATCACCTTTGGGACAACGGCTTTGTTCTAGAAAATAATTTGTGTTAGTAGATGAACTAAGTTGATAATGCAAATTTTCCACTCCTAATAATAATAATAATAACAATAATAATAATAATAATAATTTTATATTTATATTGCGCAAATTAACATGTGAATATGATCAAATGCGCATCACAACACTTTCCGGGGGACTTTGGCTGGACTGCATCGGCAGTTTACAAACAATCGAAGGAAATTCATTTGAAGATGCCCCCTCCCCCCACATCACAGTAATCTCGTGAGTGGGTTCTTTAACGTCCCCTGCCTAACCGAATTAAGTAATTAAGATGCCCCCTCCCCTCAGTAAACGGGCCAGACCACATTACAGTAATCTCGTGAGTGGGTTCTTTAATGTCCCCTGCCTAACCGAATTAAGTAATTAATAAAGGCTGATAGTTTCTAAAGAAGAGACTGTTTGCAGGTGGGGGTAACGAAATAATTTGAACATATCAACAAAGTGGAAATGGTAAATTGGCCACGGTTACGATTATAAAAGCTGACATTTCGAGCGTTAGCCCTTCGTCGGAGCGAATAGAGGAATTGTGGGTTGTGTGTGCTTTTAAAGGCAGTAAATAGAGCTACGTTATTGGTGGGAACATGGCAACGAGAAAAACGCGAATAAATTAGTGGAATGAAAAGCGTTCGCTAATACCTGTGGGATTTAGACTGCCGGTTTTGAAAGCTCATCTTTCATCCCTTCACACAAAAATAAATGTTTAGATAAAAGGTTCGGCTAACTTGATAATGGCTTAGAAAGCGGTTTTGTTTAACAAAGGCAATTTTCACCAAGAGGTTCTTTCAAGCTTGTTAAGAATATCAAACATTCCAAAAATTAATTTGATTTTCTAGTGGACAAATTTTCGTGCTTGCGCATACTTTAATGTCGTGCGGTTGTCGGTGTATATTAAGACATTCGTGTAGTTATCCCAAAGCGACAATCCCGAGGTTAATCAAACTACTTTATCTTCTCGAGTCTTTGGCATCGTCCTGACAAGTATCCGGAAATTTGTGAAAACGCAAATTTTTTTTTACGAATACGGCTTGCTTCCACACGTATCCAGCGTATTTTCTGGCCGTATCCGGAAGTTTTTGAAAACGCTCTCCAGAGTGGAAYTTTTTTTATCCGATACAAATACGGCTACGTGTGGACGGCCGTATCCCGAAATTTTTCAACACGCTTACTTCGTTTTCTTGGATCCAGTCTTCACGGCGAGCATTATAAACAAACATGGTGTACAACAAGGTTGTAGCTTTTAGTTTTGACGTTAAAACAGACTTCGTTAACTCGTCCTTCTTGTTTGGAAATCTTTGCCAATAGCAGCAGCATCTTCTGGCGAGGGATAATGAGCACCGTAAGCTTCGAGAATCTCGCCATACTTGTCAACACAAGATTCGCAGTCGATGCTTTTGGCGATTTGCTTCGTTTTGTATTCTTTCGTGACCGTGAGCAGTAGCTAGTTCAACTTCATCATCGCTCCATTCATATGTATCAGCATACTTTTCCTTTGCTTTTTCTGTAGATTTAGACATTTTTTCGAGTGATAAACTACAAGCTTCGACTGATTACACCTCGCAGTAGCTATGGCGAGAAAGAGATGGCGCCAAAATCGCAATTATGCGCATGCCCACTTCAGGATTCTCTCCGGCAAAAGAACTGGGCACAAGAGCAAATCAGAAAATTTCCGGATACAATCGGAAACGTGTGGACGGCTGAAAACGATTCGAAAACGCTGCGTGTGGACGCGAAAAATATCATATCGGCAAAAAAATATTAGCCGAAAAAAAATTTCCGGATTCGTGGGGACATGGCCTTGAGGAAGTCAACTTGTCCAGCGAACGCTCGTCGTGACGATTTTCTAGACCTTAGTTTGACGTGACATTGAGGGAAATTTTTCGATAAAACTAAGAGATTGCCCTTAGTTCCAAACACATACCACTGCCGTGTTGGTTATGTCTAGTCCATCGAGCCTGACTTTTGCAAACACCGATTTTAAATAGGCGGGAAGACTTGAATGCGCCCCTATCGGTTCGTCAGAGTCAAACACGCGAAAACCGACCAAATACAATCTGAAGTTTTAAAAAAAAGTTTCACTGAGAAATGGTTTCTAAAATACCAGTAGACTTATTTTTGAAACAAACACTTTCAAACGGTTCCGTGTAAAAGCCGTGTACCGACTAAAGACCACCACAAATCTTACAACAACTTGTAATAATAATAATAATAATAATGATATTTTTTGATTTGTAATGCGCAAATATCAATCCAGAGAAAAAAATTTTCATCTTGTACTTATTCATTTGTTAACTGGTGGATCTGAAACAGGACAATACAGTTTTTCCTTTGGGATTTGCGTAACAAGAACTATAGTTTTACAACACGATTTAATGGCTACAGTAGTGGGTCTTGCGTTCTATTTAGCTCAAAAAAGGTCAGCAACTTACTACAGTGTATCCGTTTAATTGAATCACTTATTGAAAATCGACCGAATGTATAAAAATAGGCCGCTGTAGTGTATCAATAAACGGATTTCCCCTAGTTATACGCCGCTGTAGTGTATCAATAAACGGATTTGCCCTAGTCATACGCCGCTGTAGTGTATCAATAAACGGATTTGCGGA